TTCATATCTATGTGTAAGATGAAATGGACCATGCACTCACTTGATTCGGTACTCGGACAACGCTTCGTTTACTTTAAAATAATTTCCTTCGACGAAACCTAGTATTATTACTACTAGATTTCAGTCTAATATTTACCGTGACTAATTATTAGTCTTATTATTATTATATAAGCGTTTAAACAATATTTTCCAACCACTATGTACAGACAGGGGTCAGAGGGCAGGACTATTTTGGCATATAACACTTCTGAAATCCAACAACCCTATACGGCCCTTTAAACCAGATTCCCCATACCGCGAGTAGTTAAAAAGATATTATAATGACACTTATATAATAATAGCTCAAATATTTATTATATGTTTATAATAACAATACTAATTTTAAAAATAAGCTATATTAAAATAGGCTAAGCATAACTTACTTACAATGGGGTTTTAGCTAGGAGCCGGGCTTTGCAGGGGCAGAACTTCGTCGTTAAATCTTTCTAAGAAAGATTCGTGTAGCGCTTCAGCGCTCACCTTACTATACTAAAACTACAGAAAGAGAAATCGAATCACGAGGGACCGAAATGTTTTGGGGATAAGAAGAGAAAGACTCTTGAATCAAGAGAATGGTGCAAGAAATATGAGAGCTCAAGCCTCTTCTTTTTAGTAATTAAGTTTACAAAAACTACCCTCCATAATTACTTAATGACCTTATAGTTATATAAACGACCAAACACCCCTTCATAATACTATTTTAAATAGATTTAATGATATTTGTACTAAACTAATGTCGAAAGTACTCAAGACTAGTCTTATAATAACCGCATCGTCGATACCTTTCTAATGATATATACATTTGTGTGTGTGTGTATATATATATATATATATATATATGTGTGTGTGTGTGTGTGTGTGTGTGTACGTATATATGATTTATACTTTATTTTAATACATAAATATGCTATTATAATTTGTAACTCGTTCAGACGAACTCCATTTTTGAAGTTCTTTATATCCACGCATTGGTATTTACGATCACTACAACTTTCATTTAGACGCCGTCAGCTAATTCTCATTCTATCTCAGATTTACAAAACTGTATCGAATTTATTGCGCTCGAAGAGTAAGGACCAAGTTTCGTCCATATCTTTAACATACGAGCTCTATTCTCGACATTATTTATATTCGCCCGTAGGTAAAAACAAGATCTAAAACTTTCATTTAGACTCCGTCGGCTAATTATCGACCGATCTTAAATTCAACAGTAGGAGGAGATTATACTGTTCCTTGTCCACGTAAAATTCATAACTTCTACACACGGCTTCGGTTTCGTCTATCTTTTTACCGTTTAGTTCCTATTAATGAGATCTTAAACTCTCATTTAGGTCGCGTAGGCCAAAAACAGCTCGAACTAAAATTCGAGTTTCGGGTCGTGCACTGCTATGACAAATGTTAGAAAATTCATAACTTCCTCATACGAAGTAAGATTTGGGCCTTCTTTTTATGGAGGCTCTCAGTTTAATATATTCTACGACTTTTGTTTAGATTACTAAGGCTAAAAAGTCCTCTATCGTAAATTCACTATTTACGTCTCCCGATGCCGTGCCGGTTTTGCTGAAAAACTTCAACGGGTCATAACTTCTTCGTTATAACTCAGATTTCGGCGTTATTTATATGTACTGAACCCTTGTAACATATACTACAACTTGGTTAAGATTAATCCTTCTAAATAACTTCAATCAAAAACTCATTTTAATGTTTATTGTTTCTAAATTGCCTAGCCCGGATCTACATGAGTTATAATTAGTGCCTTCAACCTACAAGTAAAGTGAAAAAAAATCACCTTTTAGTTCGAAAAGATTGTTGAACATGAAGCTTCTCTGAATATTAGCTCCATAAGTCACTTATACTGATATACATCAAGTAGTGACCAATCTCAACTACAACTCCAAAATACCCAAAATACCCTTAAGTCAAACTTGGTTAAATCCTAATCATAGTCAAAAGTCAAAGAAGTCAATCGAGTCGACCCAACTGAGTACGCCCAACGTACTCAGCTTGTACGCACAACGTATTAAAGGCTTGACCAAAAAGAGGGTTGTTGACCACGTTAGCACAACATACTTTAGCGTATGCATAACGTATGTGCCAACCAACTTCTCTTTCTTTAAGAGCTTAATCCCTAAGTGCTTTCGTCCAAGATCCAGATCTAGTCCCAAAATAATGTCTTAAGTCATAAAGTTTCCAACTTTACGACTTTGCATGGCTAGGAAGTGCTCAATACTAAAAGCCCTAACTTCTTAGCTTATTAAAACATTATAACCCATGCATGGAAGAAAACTAATGACCAAGATTGCATTTTTATGACCTTAGACACTCCAAAACGTCTAGAAGGACAATGCATTTAGGTCTAGAGCATGTCATACTCAAGAACATCATTGACTAGGGACAAAAACACATAATAACATCATACAAGCTAGATCTAACCAAATAAGCATCAATGTATAAACTTTATACCTCTTGGAGATGTAGGAAGGTGCAAAACTTCCAGATCCAAGGTTGCTCCAAGCTTCCAATGTATTCTAATTTTCTTCTCCTTCCTCTATGAACACCAAAACACACATTAATGGCTCAAGGATGCTCAAAAATAGATTAGGGTTAATTAAGGCTGGATATAGAGGTGGAGGCTGAAGAATGAAGTGGTTTCAAAGAGTTGAGGATGTTTATATAGGGTCAAAATCCTAAAAATTAGGGTTTGACCCATGATCATGTACACCAACGTACACATGTAGCCTTTATTTTTCATTTAAACGCCCATTGGGACCAAATTTGCTAACAATTCTCATGCCAATGGTCAAAATGTAAAATACCTGAAAATCGAGATGTTACAAATATAATCAGGATAAACAAAAAGGGGAGTATAAGAGGAAATGTATTAGGTGAGGGGTCGTTTGAGGTCATTCTGCGTTGATTATGGATTTCACCAGGGATGGAGGAAGGGATAAATAGATATATACTATAAAAGAGAGTGTTACGAGACAAGATAGGTGGTGCGGTTTGTCACCATTGCGAGAGAATGATTTGTGCCATTGTGGTGGTTTGGCATAGTTGATAGATTTCGATAGGGGGAATAGGAGAGACAAGGGATATGTTAGAGTGTTGAGTAATTAAAGGAGTGGGGTTTGTAACCGTCGGGAGAGAATGACTAATGACGATCGGTGGTACACAGGAGCAACAAAAATAGTCTCGTTGTGAACTGTGATGGAGTAAAAAGACAGTGAGACACATGGCAGTGGTGAAGTTTCGTTTTCATTGCATACAGTGATAGATGAAAAAAGATGGGGGCAGGAGAGAAATTTGAAAGGGGTTTATTTATTATTAAATGCTTGACTTTTATAATTTTCTGCCACATTTAAAAAAACATGTATACTTTATATGATGGTTAGTTAAAAAAAAAGTGTAAGGAGTAGGGTGAGTTTAGATCAAACGCTCGCAAAGTGTTATTACTTTATATTTTGTTCTTATTTATACCTATGCAATTGTTTGCAGTATAAATAAGTTAGAAAAGGTTATTAGTTTCTCACTTTTAAAAACTATTTTTGCTAAAGATTTAGCCACAATTAAAAACTTCAGCTTCAGGTAATTTTATCAAGCACGCCTATATCACAAAGTTTTGTAACAAAAAGAAATTATAAAATATTTAGAGTTAACAAACAATAGGAAAGAATGAAATTAAAATCCTTCATCAAAGTAATGGAACGTTATAATCTCTTTGAGAAACCTTTAATTCCAAGATCCTTCCTTTTTAACCAAACAATAAGAAATTGAATTCAAATCAAGCAGTTCTACGTGACCCTATTGGCCTATTTATTCTTTTTCAACTTGCATACAAAGAGATTCAGGAAAAAAAAATGACATACAAAGCCTTTAAGGGTCGTAAACTACTTTTATACATTATATCCCATAAATCAAACAATCCACCATACCTGTTTGTCAATTGATAATATGTAGTGACGATATGATGTTAGAACCACTTTGGAGATAATAGGATCTCTAAGAAGGTAATCATGTTCATTTGACCCTTAATGAATATTATATGAATCATTATTTAAAAGCCCTTTAGGATCTTTGTGCTTTTAGCACATGGAAAAGGAAAACGTCAATGACTAATTATAATATATTTCTCCTTTACCTTAAAAGCATACCCTCTTGCCTTTTCCTTTCCCTTTTTCTTATAGATAAAATAATATCTTATTAAATTATGAACATTATGGTTTTATGAGATATATGATATCTATATATACACAAAAAAAATGGGGCTAAACATGTGAAACCCAATAAACGCAAGATCAAGAAATAATCAAACTCCACGATTCAACATAATTTCATAATTTAAGCTTACGTCTTAATGAAAATAGGCCTATCAAATGGCTGTATTTCTTTGCCTTGCAATGCATTTCATATTCATCGATTGCATTCAAAACAACTATTTAGAAAATTTTGCTTAGTAAATAGCTCATAACTTGTATCAAAAGATTTCCACCATTGTGTATATGTTTCTTTCATTGTGTATATGTTTCTTTCATTGTAAGAACATCTTGTTAAAGTTTAATAACTCTAAAGAAACAAGTTGTAACATGAAGGAATTAGAATCCTAAATACAATTTAATGCAAATGACATGTTAGAAACAAGGGTTCAAATATATGGCATTGTTTTAAAAACACAGAATTTGGAAGAAAAAAAAAATGGTCCACTTCTGTTTGATGTTTGAGAGCCAACCACTATGACTAATCGATACAGCAACATCAACAACTCTTATACTATATGAATCTAAGTCAATGTAATTAACAACTTTGCAAGATAACATTTACAACATTGCTTATAATATTGTTGCTGATTATGTAGAAGAAAGAGACATTTGTGTTTCGTGCAAATTGAGTTACATTTTTAATTTGAAACTGAATAAAGTGTTCAAAGTCAAAACAAAACAATTGTGAAATCAAAAAAAGAATCTGTCAAATTTGAATCTTGGAAATATTAGGTTCAAATCTGTAAATACAAAAGTTGACTATTTCATAAAGGAGAAAGATGTTGGAATCCATCTACTCATTACATTAAGTAATAGGATTCTTCATAGTCTAAATTATCTTCATGTAAACACTTTGAAACTCTTGTAAATTAGCATTAAGGGATAAAAGTTTTCTTTGGCAAATAAAAAAGGTTTGAATGTTATACATATCAAGCATGATGTAGCAAAGAACCTAAAGATATTCAACTAATCCTCAATATCGAAAATTTAGTTTTATATAATCTTTTGATGCAATAAACTTGGGATCTAATTTATCCAAGAAAGTTCATGATCACCAAATGCAACACCAAATTGCACAAAACAAAATCCGCAAAAGCACGCTCAGGAGGTAGATCCTGCAACAAATTGATAAGTGAATATCAGGGTACACAGGATATGATATGACATGACATGACAAAATAAGTTTATAAAAAATGACGTAAATGCCCTCATCGGTTTAATTACATGATTTTAATCAAAATGTTTAGAAGTACAGAGCCAAAGAGGAACAAGAAACGTACCTTGAATTCCTTGTTTTCTTTGTTTACTTGGATCCGAAGACAAACTGTTGTAATCAAAAGGATAAAGAAATTATTTTTTCTAAACATGGAAACCCTAATTGAAATGAAATGTATTCAAGCATAAAGTTGAATATACATGTAAGATTACCTGCAAGAACAGCTGTTCCTACACAAGAGAGTACACCCGAGAGAAAGGAGTTGAATGGAAAGGAGCCAACAATGGCCATATAACCCACCTGATAATAAGCAAAATCATAAGTATATCTATCATCTATAGTCCAACTACTTCATTTCTATGTGGATTCTAAGAGTTACAATTGATATTCCAAACACAAGGAACTAATCTGCATGCAATTGATATCTGATGGATTGTGAATTGTCGATAAGACGATTTACAATTTCATGTTAAATCTAAGAGTCTTGGATAGTGAATTACAGGAGGTAAATCAAAGAAAGGCAAATAGTTAACATCCAACACAACTGCGAACAAAAAATTAAAGTTCTTAATATCAACCACTCAAAATAGAAAAGAGACTCGAAGCGAAGCGAAATTGGTCTAAAATACCACTAAAGAACACGAACTGGATCAATCAAACAGCGAAAGGCGACATCAATTTCACATCACAATGAGCCACGACTATTAATTTAAACAGAACGTTGAAAATGCAAAGTACGGTTCACGAATCACGAACAGATTGTGTACCAAAACAACGGCATACCTGAATCAGAGCGGTGAAGACGGCGAACACCACGTATAGATCTATGATCTGGAATTAGATTAGATCGTTAGGGCACAAACGCAACAGAAAACAGTAACACAAACGAATTTAATTAGATGGATCGAGAAAAGGAGAACCTTGAGATTAGTGGGAGTAGCGGAATAAGCAGAATGCAGAGAGCGGAAAAGAGCTTGAGCATCATCTTTCGTCGTCGCCGTCGACTTTCCCATCTTTCTTCCTTGCTGTTTCACAGTTTCAGTGTATTCTTTCTCCCCTTGGAAATGGATGGTGAAATTCAGAAACCCTTAAAAAGTTGGTAATATAAATACCACCTTTTTAATTGTTATTTAATAAATATTGAAGCATTGAACATCGAGGCCCATTAGCTCAGTTGGTTAGAGCGTCGTGCTAATAACGCGAAGGTCGCAGGTTCGAGACCTGCATGGGCCATATTATTACGGTTTCAATATTTTAATTTATTTTTCTTACATTTGACGTTACATCCTCATCACCCAGGGCTTATCTTCCTCTTATTCTTTTTCTATTGTTTTCCAATTTATTTCAATATTAACCATTTATTTGATTGCCAAGTGACGTAATACTCTTTAGTAACATCACACGTAATACTCTTTAGTAACATCACATTTTGGATATTTTGGGTGTCAAAATCAAAAGGGATAATGACTTAAAAAAGTAACGAAGTTTCAAAAGTGTACAAAAAAGATCATTGTTGTTTTTTTTGTATACAAAATACCATTTTACCGGCTATTGTAGGTTATCCGGTTTCCAAATGTTCAAAAAATACCATTGTTGTTTTTTTAGTACAAAAAATACCATTAATGTTACTATTTGTACACAGAATACCAACAAAATACACATGTGTTCAACTAAAACATTGTGGTAACCAGGTACTTCAGGTAAATGAGATGAGATGAGCGTAATCAGCAAGTGCTTGTTTAATTTTTGTTGAAATTGTTGAAAAAGATCTTACTTCCACCGTATGATCAGCCGAACAAGATTATAGGTGATGCTTCGGCTGATAAATTTTTCTTCAAATCGGTGATAAGAAGAGTGTAATCAGCAAGTGCTTGTTCGGCTGTTAGATAGGCTAAAGTAGAAGCATTCTTGTATGCCTCTTTCTGGCTTCCATATGGCATCGATTCACCATAATATCGATGCTAGATCAAATCACGCAGCTTTTGATAAAATTATATTATTAAAGGTCTGCAAGTGAACATATTAATGTAGAGTAGAGTGATTAGGGCTTTTACTTCGGGGAAGATGACCATGGCACCAAAACGAGGGGCGAGTTCCCAAACGAAGTCGGTGTTGGCAGCGAACCATTCGATGTCACCTTCGTTGCCGCAATAAAGGAAGATTGGGCCCAAACGACTAGGGCCTGGGCCCACCCAGTGATCGGAGTTGATGAGATAATGTTGTTGGAACTTGGGAAGATCATTGAAACTGAAATGATCAAGAGTCTGATCAAAGTACTGTGTCTCGTAAGTGTACTTCGGCTGAACAAGAATTTTTGGGTTTTGAGAAGCCGTGGGGATTTGCCGAGAAGCGGAGGTGGCCGGTGAGATTCCGACGTTGATGAAAGTAGGTAGATGATTAGGAGGAAGAATAAGAAAAAGGGTTTTGCCATGGTGGTGGAGGGTGGCAATGAACAACAGTAGTGACCGAAGTGAAGTGGAAGGTTCTTTATAAAAAGTAGCTAAATTTCCATTACATTCAAAGAAGGAAAAATGACTTAAAAAGGTAACGAAATTTCAAAAATGTACAAAAAAGACCATTGTTTTTTTTTTTGTACACAAAATACCATTTTACCGGCTATTGTAGGTTACCCACAAGGTATTATTTGAACACATGTGTACTTCATTGGTATTTTGTGTATAAAAAATACACTTTAATGGTATTTTGAATACTAAAAATAAAATAATAATATTTTTTGTACATTTTTGAAACTTCATTACCTTTTTAAATCATTATCCCAAATCAAAATTCCAACAAATGGATAATATCATTGGTCTAGGACGACCATGTGAGTATATTGACTTGAAACACCCTCAGTATGTTATATTAATATCATATTACCCATTAAAAAGCATATATAGGCATACATAGACAGTATAATTCTCAAATTTATTTATTAATTTAAATTATATCTCTTCTATAGTAATTATGATCCATTAAACCTAAGAAAATAAAGATTAGGCAACAAGATTGTGACACGGAAAGGAGAAAAGAAGGCTACACATTTGAAACGTCTCAAAAATTAAAACTGAAAATTTCGATTTTTAAATTAATAAAATCATTATCCAAAACAACATCATAGAAATCATGATGAATCAAAGTGTATCAATAAACATCAAAGTACATCAGAGTAATATAAAATATGGAACAATGTGGTGTGTACACTGCAATCATAATACACCTTGATAGTGTACCAAAGTTGTGCTCTTCGAATGAGCACGTACTCCACACAGAAAATAAGAAAAGAGAAGAAGAATTGCCAAAAATCAAGTCTACGTGACTTGTGATTCTAATTAACTTAAATAACATGATCCAAATAAGAATTCAAAACAAATACTTATCTACTTATTCAAACTAACTTCTAACCTACCAGATATGATCAAAACAAACTAAACTAGATGTGGATTCTTCCAAGTCACGTGACATTATCACTTCATGTGATAATCCTTCTGCCAAATAGGTTTGACCACCAACCGAGTCGACCTTCTCAGCTCCAACTCTCCAGCTGTTGACCTTCTTGGCTCCATGTCTCCAGCTGTATCATTCCCTTCTCCTTCAGAAAACACCTTGTCCTCAAGGTGGTAAGTAGGATAAGCTCCTTGAAATTCATCCCAATACTCCCAAGTTGCTTCAGTTGGTGATCGACCCGTCCATTGTACCAACACTTGACGCACAAGTGCACCCTTGCACAACACCTTGCGAGAACCACAAATGACTAGAGGTTGTTCCACTGGCTGTCCTTTCTTAATGTCCGTTGGGAATGCCACAGCTACCGCATGTGCATCGCCGGTAAATGGTTTCAAAATAGAAACATGAAACACCGGATGAATCTTTCTAGTTGGGGGTAGGGCCACGCGGTACGTGACTTTTCCCACGCGTTCGATTACTTCAAACAGACCATAGTAGCATTTAGGGAGCTTGTTAGTCAATCGATTAGCGACCGAAATCTGACGATTAGGACGGAGCTTGACCAAAACTTGATCACCCGGCTGGAAGATCATCTCACGCCTTTATTTGTTCGCCTTGGCCTCCATACGAGCCTTAGCAACAGTCAGATTAGATTTTAGTTGGCGAATAAGAATATCCCTAGCTACCAATACCTCATCCATGGCTACCACATTCGAAGATCCGGCTGGATAAGGAATAAGATCTGGTGGTAAACGCCCATACAAGGCCTGAAAAGGTGACATTTGAAGGCTAGTGTGGAAACTTGTATTATAGCAAAACTCAGTCTATAACAAACAACGTGCCCAACAATGTGGTTGGTCTGAAACCATAGCCCGTAAATATTGTTCGACGCCCCTATTCACCACCTCAATCTGACCGTCCGTATGCGGATGGTAAGCGGTACTATAGTTGAGAGTGGTACCACTTAAACGAAACAAATGTTTCCAAATTTTACTGACAAAAATAGCGTCCCGATCTCATACTACCGTGCGTGGGAATCCATGGTGTTTAACCACAATTTCCATGAATAGTTTAGCAACTTGTTTAGCATTATAACTAGTGGGTAAATTACCAAAGTGTGCATACTTCAACAATCTATCTGTAACGCCCGTAGATCCGGGCTAGTCAATTTAAAGACGATAAGCATCAAAAATGACTTTTTGATGGAAGATTATTTTGAAAGATTAATCTTAACCAAGTTTTAGTATATGTCACATGGTTTACGTGCATATAAAGAACGCCAAAATCCAAGTTATAACGAAGAAGTTATGACCTGTCGAAATTTCGCGACAAAACCGGCACGACGCTGAAGACGTAAAAAGTGAATTTACGTTAGAGTGATATTTAGTCTTATCAATCTAAAAGAAAGTCGTAGAGTTCGTTAAACCATGAGCGTGCATCAAAAGAACGTCCAAATCTGACTTCGTATGAGGAAGTTATGATTTTTCTAAGTTTCGACTTAGCGGTATGCAGCCCGAATACTCGATTTGAGATCGAGCGGTTTTTAGCCAAAACAATCTAAACGAGAATCGAATATCTCATTAATAGTAGTGAAACGATAAAAAGATAGGTGAAAACGGACATCGGATGAAGAAGTTATGAATTTATAACGGAGTTTTCCTGTCCTGGACTACTAAAAATAAATAATAACAATAAATCAAAATTTGCCGACGGAGTCTAAACGAAAGTTGTAGATCGTAGTCTCACCTACGCGGGTATATAAAGAACGTCGAAAACGGAGCTCGTATAACGAAGATATGAATTTTTGAAGTTTATTAAATAATTAAAGTATTTAATTTAAATAAAAATTCGGATATTATCCAAAAGGAGGGGGGGAGTCACCGAGCTTATCCACATTACGCCTAGCGTAACTGTAACGACCCAATTTTCACGTCCAAAAATTTCATTTTTAAAAACATTACTTTTCGAAAATGTTAAAAGATAAAAACATTGTTTGACCAAACTACATCACATCATAAACCATGTTCAAGGACAAGTCATACAACAAATCGAAACATCAGAGTATAAATCCCAAGCACATCTAGTAAATGCGGAAACCAATGTGTGTGCATGATGTGCCGCTACCGAGCTAGCTCCTTCCCCTTCGATGAAGAGGTACCTGAAACCAAAACTGTAAACTGTAAGCACAAAGCTTAGTGAGTTCCCCCATCATACCACATACCATACAACACATAACATACATACTGCCAGACTATTCTGGGGTGCGTGACTACCCGGTACGGCCATTCTGGGGTGCCGACTACCCGTGCGGCCATTTTGGGGTGCCGTCCTACCCATGCCAAGTCATTCTGGGGTGCTGACCTACTCGTGTCAAGCCATTCTGGGGTGCTGACTACCCTTCGGTCCTAACAACCGAACTCGGGGACTAGTCCCCTCCTACTACCTCTATCGCATATAACATAACAAGCCACCATGCAAACATATCATCACATACTGTCAGACGTATCTTGGGTGTCTGACTACCCTTCAGTCCTAACAACCGAACTCTACTACATACAACATATCATGCTAGCATTTAACATATCAGGTAGTAGCAAACCTAGATGATATCACAAAGACAATCACCTCCGGCTGTATTCCCACCAAACATTTAACATTTCCTTCTGGTGGGCCGGCATTGTGGCCTTAGACCTACCACTACTGGAAGGTAACTCACCTCGGAGTAGC